CACGGGGGGTCTCACTATGTTGCCAAGGCTGGTCTTGAACTTCTGAGCTTAAGGGATCCTCTCGCTTAGGCCTCCCAAAGTACTGAGATTATGGGCATGAGCCTAGCTCTCATCGTCTTAAACTCCAAAATATAGGTCTCAGAAATCTGAGTAAATACTTAAGAAATGGCAAGAGTTTAGAAGTTAGAATTTCAACAGATATTACTTCTAGTGGGTGTTTTTTGATGAATAAATCAGGGAGAAAATTTCAAAGATATAATTGTAATTAGATTACAACACAAATGTTTTAGTGGTATCTCCCTTTTTTTTTTTCCCTTCCCCAAAGGGAACAGATAAATATATGTACATTTATTTAATATTGATACCATTCTAAGCAAATTAGTAATTTTAAGTTTTGTCATTTAATCTTAGGTTAACATGAGCCCCTGCAAATAAGTCTTAAAATTCTACTTTAAATCTTATTTTTAGCCTACATGCAAAAAAAGAACAACATGGAAATAAAAGGGTTTTATATTTAATGACAATACATGGACCATTAGATCAGTTGTTCTCAAAGACGTTTGTCAGTGTATCAGTAAAGTCGTCAATATTGTATTTTAGGCTATTACTATTATCACTGGGTTGATAAATGCTATACTTTTCTTGAAGCCTAGCTACATCTCAGAATATTAAATGTGGTTATTTAATTAAGTGGCAAATGCTAATTTAGCCAATTAAAAGGTGAGTAAAGGTGACTTTCTCTGGTAACATATTCCATTCTGTTAGTGGTATGAGAGTGGCTGTTAATTATTATCCTCAGCTTAAATTTCTCTCCAGCAAAAAATAATGATTTAATGGTGCTCTATTATTTTAGTAAAAACAGCATTGAGAAGTTTCAGATGAGCAATACCTAAAGTGTTGAAAAGTTTCTGATGAGTAATCCTCAAAGCTATTTGGGGATGGGATAAACTTCAGGAATGGGGTTATTCAAACTTCTCATAGCTTAAAATAATTTATTACATAGTTATTCCTCTAGGTCCAGTTTTCAGTAGCCTTTTGGGATTACTATGGTTATGACTAGTAGATGCTGTACTCTGTTGAACACTCAGAAACAGATGTTATTTTCATTTTTATTTTTTGCGACAGTTTTATTTTTTGAGACAGGGTCTTGTTCTGCGACTCAGGCTGAAGTGCAGTGGTGCAATGAGAGTTCACTGCAGCCTCAACCACCTGGGCTCAATCAATCCTCCCATCCCAATCTCTTGAGTAGCTGGGACTACAGGCACACACCACCAAGCCTGGCTAATTCTTTTATATTTTTTGTAGATACAGGGTTTCACCATGTTGCGCAGACTGATCTCAAACTCCTGGGCTCAAGAGAGCCACCTACCTTGGCATCTCAAAGTGCTGAGATTACAATTGTGAGTCACCGCACCTGGCCCCTGAAGATTTTTTAATGAGGCATACAGTTCTGGAGTATCTTTCTCAACTTGCCAGGCTGGCTATAAGACATCATTTTGTTGTTGGAAAATTCTAGGTCTTGCTGGTTTGAGCTCATTTTAAGTGAGTTGCAACAAAATTGTCATTTTCTTAAAGGCTTTCTTTGCCCCACCTCAAAAGATTAAGGCATGGCTCGATATCACTGCTCCTATGAGTTGGCCCACACTTTGTCAAAGTAATCCGAGAAGAGAAACTTCAAAACTTTTTCACAAAAATCTTAAATAGTACTGAATAGACTGTGATAATCAGCTGAGTTTGTTTGGAAGGGAGTGCAGATGTGTAAATTATAATGTAGAAACTTTTCCTACAACCAGGTGATTTAGCTTTCATTTATTTGGAAAGCTGTTCTAAAACAGCAGAGACCTATGTCTTCCAGGTGTTCACTTCCCTTATCCCTTCTTTCCTATAGTTCCCAAAGCTCCTTACTTGGCATTTGCATTATAAATGATACGGCATCATCGGAAGGTACTTACTTGGTTAGAAGACGTGTAGAAATTAAGAAAGATCTCAAATACGTAATCACCCTTGGTTACCCAAGGTTATCAAAAGTGATACATTCAACATATAATCTATAAACCAAACTAAATGGCGCTTCATAGGCTGAAGAGAAAAGAAAGAGAAACTTCACTCAACAATGAGAAGAATCTCTCTCCTTTCTCCTTATATGAGATCACTTAAACCAGTTTCCAGTAATAGGGCACAAGGGTGAGGGAAAACAGTCATGATCACAGCATTTCTGGTAATATAAGCTGGTACAATCGCTATAAAAAAATATGTGGTAAAATTACAAATATATAAATTGACTCAAAAATTTTATTTCTTATAAAACGCCTTATATACAAGGTATTTGTTGCAGTATTGTAATAAGACTGGAAACAAACTAAATGTCCAACAATAGAGGACTGGATAAACAAATTATATAACTGTACACTAAAATACTATGCACTGTTAAAAAACAAGAATGATGGAGAGCTCCTTATGTACTGATATGGAACAGCCTTCAAGATATGTCAAGTGAAAATGTTAAGGTGCAGAACAGTATGTATCATATGCTGTCATCTGTGTTTAAAACCAAATATATATATACACATAGGTCTACTTACATATGCGTAGATTATCTCTGGGAGGGTACACAAAGAAGGTACATCTCTTAAAGGCATAAGATTTTTGTATTATAGAGAACATTTATTCTGGTTCTTACTTTACAGCAATGTGAGAAGATCTGACAGATGTACTCCTGGGTATAGCGGGACCTGCTAAGCAGTGCCATGAGGTGTGGTATCACTGTGGCATCCTAGGAAAAGAGAACACAGCAACAAGAACTCAGGTGCCATGACTACATTTGATGAAACAAAGTATTTCCACGAGAAGGTAGTCAAATCTCTTATCTTAATGACAGTAAATCAAGTCTCTTTAACGCACAGAACAAAACAGAAGCAACATGGCCCATCAAAACTGTCCAGGCCAACGACAAAGAAAGGGGTTTAAATATTCATCCTTGGTAACAAAATATGAGAACAGGAAATTCTCAATAACTCTCTCAAAAAACAGCCTACATCCTCACGATAAAACAAAATCATTTCAATAAGATACGACAGAAATAAGTTCTGAAACCAAAATGTGAGGTAGCTAGTACGTTATACACTAGTACATAGTTTATAAGAAGAATTATTGTATAAAAATAAAATTTGAAAATTTTGATCTTCAAGATGTTAAGCACCAGTAACTACTAACAGTCTCTCATAAAGACTGTAGTTAACTATTTTCAATCTGTACGAGATGAGACAATTTACTTTTTTATTTTTTGAGATGGAGTCTTGCTCTATCGCCCAGACTGAAGTGCAGTGGCGCAATCTCGGCTCACTGCAACCTCCACCTCCGGGGTTCAAGCAATTCTCCTGCCTCAACCTCCTGAGCAGCTGGGATTAAAGGTGCATGCCACCACACCCAGCTAATTTTTGTATTTTTAGTAGAGCTGGGGTTTCACCATGTTGGTCAGGCTGGTCTCCAACTCCTGACCTCATGGATCTAACCCCCTCGGTCTCCCAAACTGCTGGGATTACAGAGACAATTTATATGATTGGCAGCTTCTCAGGTACAGCCCACTCTCTGCCTATTGCTGACATTTAACAACCTATGTAATAGCACAGAATAAGAGAAAAGTATCAACCCACTCTGCTGCAAGGCTCTCCAAGAATTTCCTTTTATTTAGAATGCAGGTTGAGAGCCGTGGCTCATGCCTGTAATGCCAGCACATTGGGAGGCCAAGGCAGGCGGGTCACCAGAGGTCAGGAGTCTGAGATCAGCCTGGCAAACATGGCAAATTGCTGTCTCCGTTAAAAATACAATAATCAGCCTGCTGTCATGGCGCACACCTGTAATCCCAGTTACTTATGAGGCTGAGACACAAGAATCGCTTGAACTAGAGAGGCAGAGGTTGCAGTAAGATCACGCCACTGCACTCCAGCCTGGGTGACAGAGTGAGACTCTGTCTCAAAAACAAAAAACAACAGAAGAATGCAGAAGGGCCAGGTTCAGTGGCTCACGCCTGTAATCACTTTGGAAGGCCTCTACTAAAAATACAAAAATTAGCCGGGCATGGTGGTACGCGCCTGTAGTCCCAGCTACTCAGGAGGCTGAGGCAGGGTACTAGATTGAACCTGGGAGGTGGAGGTTGCAGTGAGCCGAGATCATGCCACTGTACTATAGCCTGGCAACAGAACAAGACTCCATCTCAAAAAAA